AAAAAAAAAAAAGGAACTGTTTAATATTCTACTGTGTGTCTGGTTATTTCCATGTCCCAAAATGCAGTGTAATTTAACAAAGAAACTTTTTCTCTGTTAGATTCCAGATGAGATGATCCAGTGTGTAGTCTGTGAGGACTGGTTTCATGGAAGGGTAAGGAAAACTTTCACTTTTTAAAGCCATCATCTTCACAAAAAGATAAAGGATCTTCTCCTTTTGAATTGTTATATATATCTTTTTTTTTTTTTAGATAGTTTCACTATGTAGCCTTCAATAGAGTGCTGTGGTGTCACAGCTCACAGCAACCTCCAACTCTTGGGCTTGAGCAATTCTCTTGCCTCAGCCTCCCAAATAGCTGGGACTACAGGGGCCCACCACAACACCTGGCTATTTTTTTGTTGTAGTCGTAATTGTTGTTTGGCAGGCCTGAGTGGGGTTCAAACCCTCCAGCTCCAGTGTATGTGGCTGGCGCCCTAGCCACTGAGCTACAAGCACTGAGCCACGTACACCATTATATTTTACGTTATAATTAATCCTTTAAAAATTGGACAGTGCCTGTGGCTCAGTGGGTAGGTTGCTGGCCCCATATATCAAGGGTGGTGGGTTCAGGCCCGGCCCTGGCCAAAGTGCAACAAAAAAATAGCCAGGCATTGTGGTGGGCGCCTATAGTCCCAGCTACTCCAGAGGCTGAGGTAAAAGAATCACCTAAGCTCAGGAGTTGGAGGTTGCTGTGAGCTGTGACGCCACAGGACTCTACTGAGGGTGACAGGGTGAGACTCTGTCTCTTAAAAAAAAAATAAATAAATAAACTATAAAGGGATAGTGCCTGTGGCTCAGTGGGTAGGGCACGATCCCCATATACCGAGGGTGGTGGGTTCAAACCTGGCCCTAGCCAAACTATAACAAAAAATAGCTGGCATTGTGGTGGGTGCCTGTAGTCCCAGCTACTTGGGAGGCTGAGGCAAGAGAATTGCCTAAGCCTAGGAGTTGGAGGTTGCTGTGAGGTGTGATGCCACAGCATTCTACTGAGGGCGATAAAGTGAGGCTCTGTCTCTAAAAAAATAAATAAATAAACTATAAAGATATAATCTGTTGGCTTGGCGCCTGTGGCTCAAGCAGCTAAGGCGCCAGCCACGTACACCCAAGGTGGTGGGTTTGAATCCAGCCCGGGCCCGCCAAACAACAATGACGGCTGCAACCAAAAAAAAAAATAGCCAGGCGGGTGCCTGTGGTCCCAGCTACCTGGGAGGCGGAGGCAGGAGACTCGCTTGAGCCCAGGAGTTGGAGGTTGCTGTGAGCTGTGATGCCAAGGCACTCTACCCAGGGGGACAGCTTGAGGCTTCTGTCTCAAAAAAAAAAGATATAATCTGTTGCAGTATTTGTTTATAAATAATAGGCATTTTAGGCTATTTGACAATCATACAGAAAATATTTCTGTATTCACAGCACCTTGGTGCCATTCCTCCTGAGAGTGGGGATTTCCAAGAGATGGTGTGCCAGGCTTGCATGAAACGTTGTTCTTTCTTGTGGGCTTATGCTGCACAGTGGGCAGGTAGGTATCTGTGTGAAGCCACAAATTGTGCTTTTGAACTATGTGTATGTTCAATCCAGAATTTTTAGCAACTTTTTTATTTTATTTCATTTTATTTTATTATTTATTTATTTTGCCCTAAGTAGAGTCCTATGCCTGGGCTGGATTGCCCTCACTATAGTGCCCTTGGTAGAGTACTGTGGTGTCACAGCTCACAGCAACCTCAAACTCTTGGGCTTAAGCAATTCGCTTGCCTCAGCTTCCCAAGTAGCTGGGATTACAGGCACCCGCTACAATATCCAACTATTTTTTTATTGTAGTCGATACTGTTGTTTGGCAGGCCCTACCTAGGTTCAAACCTGCCAGCCCCAGTGTGTGTGGCTGGCGCCCTAGCCACTGAGCTACAGCCACCAAGACTAGCAACTATTTCTTTTTTTCTTTTTTTTTTTTGAGACAGAGTCTCAGTATGTCACCCTCAGTAGAGTGCCATGGTGTCACAGCTCACAGCAATGTCAAACTCTTGGGCTCATGTGGTTCTCTTGCCTCAGCATCCCTAGGAGCTGGGACTATAGGTGTCCACCACAGTGCCTGGCTTTTTTTTTTGTGGCAGTTGTCGTTGTTTAGCTGACCCAGGCCAGGTTCAGACCTGCCAGCCTTGGTGTATGTGGCTAGTGCCCTACCCACTGAGCAACGGGCACTTCCCTTTAGCAACTATTTTTAATTGAACTCTGAGATATAGAGAACATATATATTCCTTCTGTACAAGGTACTTATAGATTGGTTAGAAGATGGTTAAGAATAAATTTATTAATTTATTTAATTTCTGAGACAAAGTCTCATTTTGTAACCCAGGCTAGAGTGCCATGGCCTCAGCGTTGCTTACAGCAACCTCAAACTCCTTGGCTCAAGCAGTCCTCTTGCCTCAGCCTCCTGAGTTGCTGGGACTACAGGCGTGTGCCACCACATCTGGCTAATTTTTCTATTTTCAGAAAAATTAGATACAGGGTCTCACTCTTGCTCAGGCTGGTATTGAACTTCTGACCTCAAACAATCCTCCCACTTCAAGGCCAGGCGAGGTGACTCACAGCTATAATCCTAGCACTTGGGAGGCCGAGGCAGGTGGATTGCTTGAGCTCACTGAGTTCAAGACTAGCCTGAGCAAGAGTGAAGGCCCGGTCTCAAAAAAATAGCCAGGCATTGAGGCAGGTGCCTGTAGTTCCAACTACTTGGGAGGCGGAGGCAAAAGAATTACTTGAGCCCAAGAGTTTGAGGTTGCTGTGAGCTGTGATGACATGGCACTCTACTGAGGGCAACAAAGCGAGACTGTCTCAAAAAAAGAAAAAAAATCCTCCCACTTTAGTCTCCCAGAGTGCTAGGATTATAGTTCTGAGTCACCGTGCTGGATCCAAGGACAGATTTCTACATAAGTGCCATGATGTGTGGTAAGTATGAGACTAGAATTAGAGAAAATGGAGGTGGCAGTTTTTCTTTCTTTCTTTCCTTCCTTTCCTTCCTTTTCTTCCTTCCTTCCTCCCTTCCTCCCTCCCTCTTCCCCTTTCCCTCCTTGCCCCCCTTCCCTCTTTTCCCTTCCTTCCATCCCTTCCTTCCCTTCCTCCCTTCCTTTCCTTCCTCCCTTCCTTTCCTTCCTCCCTTCCTTCCTTCCCTCCCTCCCTCCCTACCTCCCTCCCTTCCTTTCTTCCTTCCATCCTTCTTTCTCTCAAGCTGTCACCCTGGGTAGAGTGCCCTGGCATCACAGCTTACAATAACCTCCAACTCCTGGGCTCAAGTGATTCTCTTGCCTCCGCCTTCCAAGTAGCTGGGACTACAGGTGCCTGCCACAACACCC